GCTTTAGACAGTAAGGACAGTGATGTGGAAAGCCCTGAGGAGCGGTATAAAGAGTTACTCTTGCAGCCACATGGTCCATATGAAATATGTCCCTTTTCAAGCATGCCCTCCTGTCTCCTGAGGTTCTGTTTAACGTGTTTCACAGAGAAACAGGATTTTGATACCTTAAAGTATAGACCTTGAAGTATAAAGGCGGAATGCACGCAGCAGGTAATGCAAATGTTTTGCCTGAATATATTTAATCTTCTAACAAAGTCTGAGAAGCATCTGTCAGCTGAAAATCTACCATGAAGCCATGCAAGTGAAATGTATCTGCCCACGTCCTTCAGAAGAATTCATGCATACATGTTACTATTTACATAGCAATTGTATCCATAGTTTCTTTAGAATAGGTTATCCCTGTACTTCATGTTACTGCACAATATGAAGCATTTCAAAGACTTCACCCGTATTTACAGAGGCAGGAATTCTATCCTCAAAGCTGTCTTTACTCCTGCCCAGCAACTACCAAAGTAGTTACTTCTTTTCTATAAATGGATGAATGTTTACATTTATCCATGACTTCTACGGGCTCAATGGTTTGATGCCTGCTTTATACGAGTGCAAACCGCCCTTGAAGCAAGTGAAGTTTCAGAAGCTCCCTCCTGCCTGCACTAAAATCCACAGAGACACACTCTTACTTTACCTACTCTAGCACGTCCATACAATAAGCAGTTTTCCAAAAATAAAAAAGGCCTAGGAAAACCCACAGCATCAAACTTGCATACCTAAGTACTGAAGAGACCAGAAAATGTGAAGCTGCTTACAAAACCATTATTTCAATCCCACAGGCACATGCATTAGGACACAAAGGGCTGCATAATATCAGTCACATGCAGTGTAATACCACAACTGTGGTAAGTGAAGTATCCTAGTTTTGCCTAGCATTCCTAGAATAATGCAAGAAGCCCACCGACCTGTCTCAACACCCACATACAGACCAAGAAGCACAGGGTGCGATGCCTGGTTGCAGGCGATGCTTTTGCCTACTTTCCCTTGCCCATCTCTTTCAAATACAGCAGTTCAGGGCAAACTGCACAAGAGAAGGAAGCCTTCAACCTTCCCTCCCTGAGCTCCTCACTGGAATGAGGCAGCTGATGTGTACTAGAGATAGCTGAGCAAAAGGAAGCAGTGTTTGGCCATTTAAACTGTATTCCCTCTTCAAGTAATTGTCCCAGTTCCCTTGAGGGAAAAACAGCATACTGAACAGGAGCGTCATACTGCCAGATCCAGTCTGCAGGCCATTCAACACCCTGGTCACGATGAGGTGGACTACTGAAATGGACAAGCATCATAACATAGCAATTCTTGTGGCAGCACTCAGAATCACCATTCGTGATTTACTTTGCTGTGAGGAAGACTATGCAGTAATGACTGGAAGTATCACACGTGAATAAGTTATATCTTCTGTATCATTTAAAAAATGAAAACTTTTAAAACTCTGTCAAAAAATTACAATGAAAAATGTAGCACTATAGAAATACAAGCTTACAATTTCCCCAAATAGCAGAGATTATATTTGAAAAGTTACAGCTAGACAATCTCAAGCAATCTTTACACTATGTACAAATATATATGAGATGGTCTACTTGAACACGCAACCTTAAATTCAGAATTTCTTGACTGGATTGCAACACACACGCCATTTAAAAAGCAGTAGTCAGTTTTGCCTGTGGGCAGTCTGAATGAATGCTTCGTGACACACAGGTGTATGAAAGTTCCACTTACAAGTCTTTATCAATCACCTGTTTATCTGGAGACTTCAGGTATTTATTCATTACTCTGCTAGTAAAAGAGCAGAAATAACATGGGCAGTTCTTTCAAAAGATAGGATTTCAGGTTTGGTTACCAAAACAATAAAGGCAGAGACACTTTCAGATATTCTTTCCTGCCATGACTACTAAATTAGATTATATAGAATTAGAGGAGGTAATGTAACTCACAGCACAAATCTTTATTTACTCTATGCAGATTATTATCAAATCATTCAAAAGGTTCATTCCAGAATTACAGTGGAAAAAGGTAAGTGTGATGACTTCCTTTCAGCTTTCTCTCTCCCCCTATGGGACAGGCTATGGGTCACCCTTTGTGCTCCTGTTTCCGAATTTTTTCTGTCTTTTAAGTACTCAAGGCAAAACCAGGTGCAATGCAAAATATAAAAAGTTAAGTTCACTTACCCTATGTATAATTCCAGCTGAATGAAGATGTTTGATACCACACAGCATTTGATAAAGAAGATAGGACATTCGTTCATGGTCTAGCTCCATCTGAATCACTTGGCAGAGATTTGCATCCATGAGCTCCATCACTATGTAGCTTATGAAGCAAAAAAAAAAGAATAATAGTCAGACAATACTGTCATTTTATTGTATTCTTTCCCTTGTTCATCTTTTTGCGTGAATATTTTTTAAATTAATTCTCAGCTTTAGTTCAAATCAGACTTACACGTCTTGAAATTCTTCCAAGGATTTTTGTGGTGTGAACACATTCAGTAGGCCGATTATCTGTAGGAAAGCGGAGAGGAAGTATAATTGCACCACAGCAATAGCAAAGTTGCAAAGTCAACATTTCAAAACCCAATATTCTGATATGAACCTCCTGGTATACATCGAAGCTCAAGATGCTCAGTGGCTCAACCAAGCCTAACATGCTGTAATAGATGATAATGATTTTAGGAGGAGTATTTTTGCTCCACAAATCACATAATCTAAAGACACTCTGCGTGCATTAACAAGATGATACTCAAAGCTTAACACCTAAGGAAGTTAGTCAATCTTCCCCTGCCTTCTACTTACAGTTTGAAGAGAGCTGGTAAGATTTTTATCACATATGAGGAAAAATAAAATTAAAAGCTGACACAGACTACCTAAGAGATATCACTTTGCCATTGACAGAGGTGAAGCAGCAAGTCCACCCAAAGAGAAAAACAGATTCTTGGAGCTGCTTTAGGATATTTCCCAGTTGCTAAGAATGGATGGGATGTGCAGAAACAGGTCAAGCTACTACTTCTTAAGAGTCAGGAAGGTTTGCAATAGTTTATCATCATACAAATTATGCTATTATGTGGATTCTCTGAAGGAAGCTTTCCCTATAAACCATCTCTGCTTTAAAAAATATACAAAATTTTCCCCAGTAGCTAAAAGACAGAGTAAGTTTTATATGACTCTTTCCGCCCCTAGCAGCCACGGGGAATTTTATCTTGCTGAAGGGCGATTAAGAGGGAAGGTGAGGAAGACAGCACATGGCTGTCTCTGAAGGAAGAAAATGGTCAATACCAGCCCACTGTAGTCCAACTCTGATAAATTTATCACTTATTCTCTCCCCATTTCTGTGATCTCATCTGGTCCAGAGCTTCTTAAGCATCAGACAGTTCCTGTCGTCACAACATAAGATTCCTAACTCATTCGCGCACCAGGAAAAAATTAAAAAAAAAAAAAAATTACTACAGCCTTTTTTCCTCCTGTTTGCCAAGCAGATGCAACAGAAAAAGGATGCACTTACCACTCACAGTATTCTTATTTGCCAGTGAAATGTAGCAATGTAACACTGACTCCCTTCCTGAGTCTGAAGGGGATACTTAAAGATATTAAAGGCAGGTATTAAAACTAGCCAGTAATAGCTCTTCTGAAAGATCCTCCTGTACTTACCATGGAGACACAGCCATGCAATGAAAATCTCTATAATCTACAGAGGATGCCATCCTCTGAAGTCACTTTCAAGAATAACCTTCTAGTTAATTCTTTAACATTTAAAGCAGGACACTGCACTTACATTTTTGTGATTAACACACTTCATAAGAACAAGCTCTCTGTAGGCTCTTTTAGCATGGGTTTGGTTCTGAAATGGTCGGCTTAACTTCTTTATTGCAACATTTCGTTCAAGGATGGCATCATAAGCTGCACTGTAATTAAAAATAACATTATTACATCTCAGTGTCAAGGTCCTTTAAGCTGTGGCGGTTGCCACCTTTCAGATACCTTGTATCATGTCTGCAGATAAACCAAATATCTGGTATTATTCAGCTTTAGGGAGTTTAATAGCAAAGTGCTCTTATATGCTGAGTGATTCAAAATTTAGAAATGTTTCCCAGCTTCATAGTACTAACACATGACAATCTCCAAAAAAAAAATGCACGATCTCTGCTTCCTAAAATATCTCACCAAAGATATTGAGCTCTTGCCACTCACTGGCACTCAAGAACACACCACCTAAAAAAGATCCAAAACACTTCAAACATAAAAAGTGCATCAATCTTATGTAAAATCTTCACATTGAAAGGAAGGGAGGAGAGAGGAAAAGCAGGTTATAGAGAGGTCCCATGCTTTCACTTATGCAGTTGCTTAATATCCTCAGGACACTGAGAGCATCAATGTCAAGATAAAACAAACAAAAAACATTTTAGGAAAGCCTTAACATCTTGATGTCACTGGCTTTTATTTGGTAAAATGGAAGAATAGCATTTTGTTTGCAGACTAATGCCAAGATTGTCATATGATTCAGTGACACAGGCTGTTTAACTGACAAAGACTGTTACTGAGGACAACTCCCGTAAGTATCATACTTCCATGACAGGAAGGCACGGATTTTGTTTCCTGTAAGAGGTAATACAACAGCTGACTACCATGCAGGCTCAGGAAATATTTATCAGTTACTAAAAAGGTCTCAGCAGGGAAAATACTGTTTTCTTGTCTCTTCTCAAAAACAGTACTCAAACCTAATGAAGAACATCTGCCAGTAAGGCTTGAATGTTTTTTTGTTGGGTTTTTTGTTTGTTTTTTACATCATCAAAATCTCTAGTCACTATTGAAGAAAGACAAAATGGGAGCAACATATACTGGTAACTTCCTTTGGTTTACATTTTCCACTATCTGGAATTTCCCCCACCTACTCCCAAGATAAAGAATATCTTACAAAAGAGTGGCAAAGAAGTGGCCAGGAAAGATTGCCAACACAGGACTCTTGTATCAGTATTTAAACTTCTGCATCCCCACTACATAACAGTAGCCTTAGAGCCTTTAGGCCATCTGCTTAATATTCCTCCAAATCAAGTTGGATCAGTTTAAAAAACAAAACCAAAAACCACAAAACAACAAAAAAACTAACCCAAATCACAAGAATTACACCCCATCTCCTCCAGACATAGGCAAGATTTAACCACATGAGCACTCCAGTCCTCAGGGTAATCAGAGTGGTTTAACTAAAAAAGCTTCAGTTACCACTAGCAGCAATTACAGAATGACACCAGAGTAATTGCACGGTCAGTTTTTGGACCTCAGCTCTGGGAAGGGCAATAAATTTGGAAAACAGGCAGTAACATATGACCGGGAATCAGAAGGACAGTGATAACATCTAAAGCTTTTGCAGCCATTTCTGTAGCAACTGAACAGACTGTAGTCAAACAACTGTCTACATCCTCATTATATTAACACACATGCAAACAAAACTCTGATCAGTTTTTCTGCTGCTGCTACATACAGACTAAATAATCTTAAAGCCAGAAGTTACCAATTCAAAAACAATGCTTGCTAGAGTACTGGCCTTCAAGTTTCCATTTGCAATAAGCACACTGTTTTATTATTAACCCAGCTAAAACACAAATACGAATTAAAAACACACCCGTATGACACATTCTCTAAACACTGATCAAGACAAGATCAGGCAGTAAAGCGGTTACAGGGAAAAGTGCTTGAGAAGATTATGCTTTTCCCTACCTTTCTCTTCCTTAATGTTTCTTTTTGTATTTTTATGCCCCTGGTTAGCATCTTAAGAGCTACACTAAACTGGAGCCTGCAAGTTCCTGTGCTATCTACATCCTTTTCTTGAACATTCAAAAATCTCTCAAAAAGCTTAAGCCAACATTTATCTTTGGGGTAATGTCACTGAACAGGAAACAGTGCCTACAAGCAGCTAGTTGTCACCAATCTTGAATCAATCGGACACTCTTCAGTCCACAGAGCAGAACTCTTATTCAAAGAATTATATTGTCAAGTCATGTTTTCCTGAACTCCATCAGGTATTTACATATTACAATGACAGGCAGCATAACAAATGCTCACTAATTGGTATCAGGGACTAGTTAGATTATGAAACTAAGTGAAACAGGCCCCTAACAAACCATTTCAAGAAGTAAAAGCATTTACAAGCATCAGATATTATATGGAGAGTATTTCTGGCTTTTGTTTCACTGTAAGCAGTGTGGTTTAGGATTAGGATTAGTTTCCTTATCCAGGTTTTTTCCCTCCCATTAATTTATGGGACTCAGCACAGCTGGCTGCATTTGCACACAAGGGCATCAGTTTGGAAGCGGGCAAGGACATAGGTCAAAAAGCAACAGCAACAGTCCTTGCTGAGGAAGAATGGCGAACTATTACTATTGCCATTTTGCACGTAAAAGGTAGTTCTCCACACTCCTACTCAGTAACATACAACAGTTAAAGGACTCAGAAAATTCTATCAAGGGAACCTAAAAGTACACTTAAATTTTAAAGAAGCCTTACCATACTATCCCTTGTGCTCCTGATCCTATTGGTTTTAAGTTTTGATACCGTTTCAATACAGTGAAAGTAGAGTCTCCAATTTCAACACTGTAGAAATTGTTGTCACGCTTGCTTCTGCTCATGACGGCAACTTAGTTAGATCACTTCATCCAAATTTTGCTTCTGACCTGTAAAGAAATAAAACTTGAAAAACTAAGATTTTACAACTGTATGTAATATGACAAAAAGGCAAAATTCTTTATAATATGCAGAATACATTTCCCAAGTAAGTCCTATATGCAAATGTATGTTACTTTTAATGTCTGCAAGAATGAGATTGCACGTGTCTGAAATGTTTTGTTTTTAGGAATGTTCCTAAGATAGGATTCTAGAAGGGCAAAAATAATAGAAAAACAGAAGTGAATGGTTGGTAGCAAAAAATCTTAGACGACAATGAACAGGAGATCAAAAGGCAGGAAGCCACATGTCATGCACAGAGCTCCAAGAGTGCTGCCATTCCTCCACACATACACATGCAGCAAGCGAGCAGGGTTTGGACCAGATACTCTGCAGAGGTCCCTTCCAACATAAATTGTTGCATGACTCTCTAAATACAAGAGTGACAAAACATCAAGTCTTCCAGACGTTGCAATCATCAAAACACTCTTGGTCACAACTGCCAGGAATACGTGTCACTGATGTGGAAATACACACAGTCAATCTAGGCCAGAAAAGGAAAACTGGCCTTGTCAGGGACAGCTGACATACTAGCTCCTATGAATAAAAGTAATAATCAGGGAAA